TGAATAAAGCCAAAAACAAAAAAAGAAACGAAAGAGGTCTGTTTATCTATCTAATGCTGCTCTTGCAACACTAATCTCTAAAGTGATTAGAGATTATTTCCCTTATAAAATCACGCAATATTCCAGTAACTTCCAGTTGAAGGTCAGAAACAGTCATTGTCCAGTCCTGGACAAGACAATACAAACCCAAGGAAAACATTTTTAATAAGGTCCCAAAGACTTATGTTTACATTTTTCACAAATTACCAGTAATGACTATCATTTTATCCTTCATTCTGTTTAAATAAACCAAAAACACTACTGAAATATAAAAAGCCAAGTAAATAGTATGTTTTCCACCTTCAGTAAACTCTAGCAAAAACAATGAGCACACAAAATAAGAGCATAGCTTCAGCCAGACATCAATTACACAACTTTAATTTTAATTTATTGTGGACAATCAATACCTATCCCCCATCTATTTTTACATATGAGAATACAAACAATCAAAACTAGCAGAGAAAAGCTGTTTATTGTACAAAGACATATGAAAGAAAACTGTTCCCCATTTAAAAGCTCTCTTGTTTCCTAAACAAACTGAGACCATCCAGCTCATCACAGGACCTAACTGGCATTCTTCATTACTTACTCATACACTGGAACAGCATACTAAAAATCATGTGAATATCTTGAGAGGGCTAAAGTATTTTTTCAGAGTGTTTTCTAAAAGTTTTAAATTCTGCATAATCAAACAGGATTTAAAAAACAAAAACATATAGCCTATGTGTAGCAAATAGGGATTACATCTACTCAGTTTTCTGAGATTAATATATTCCTAAAAGTAAGTATTTTTTATCTAATAATTATTGAATATAAGTGTGTCCAATGATCTTTACGTCACTAACCAAAACTGATGTTAAATTAGAAAATGGTTTCTGAATTTGTCCAATACTAACAAACAATAAATGAAATACATTTCTAAAATTAACAGGATATGTCGAAGAATTAAATAACAAATTCAAAATAGTATATATGAATGGGGGGAATCCACATTTGTATAAAGAAACAATGGAAAGATACAAAAGAAAAAGCTGTTACTTATAAGAAGTGGGGGGATGGGAAATTAGGTTGGAAGTCAGATTCATCAATTTTGATCTTCAGGTAGGTAAGTGTGGGAGTGCACGCCAGTTATGTTAGCACATGAGAGGCTGAGGCAGAGTTTGAGGCTAGTCTGAGCTATATAGCAAGACCCTGTCTCAAAAATAAAACTTAACCAAAAATTCATCTTTCTAAATTGTTCTAATTTTTGAACCATGTGAATAAATACCTATTTTAAAAAGTATTACATACTTTATGTAAGCATATATAAATTAACAAATGTAAATATGTGTGTGTGTGTGTGTGTGTGTGTGTGTGTGTGTAATTTAAAGAACTTTTAAGATTTCTTTTCTTTTTTTTTTTTTTAAAGAATTAAGGAGAATTTTTCACATCATTAGGAGCTATGTTTCTGGGTCACAATTCTAACCAAATGAAATTTCACAATACTTAATCTTTTCTTTCCTCTTTAAATCTAAGAATATTTTTCAAACTACCACAATTCTAAGACAAATGGTTTCATAAAAGACTAGGGGTAGGAGGGAAAAAAGTCTTAAAATAATATAAATTATTTCATTTTATTTAGACTTTAATTCTACTACTATACATTTATAGTTTAAATCATTTTAATTGAAAAAAATGCAAAATTACTAAAAGAGAAATGCTTTTTCTAAGATCCATCTACCAACCCTGAATCTGTTCTCTTAAATACATCCACATATTTTATAAAACTTCAGGCTAACATCAAATGTCAATAAATCTAGATTCTTTAAAATCTAGACTGTTGCCTAATATATAATCATCTTGTAGACTACATCCCAAAACACAACCTCTCTCTTCTGCTACTTCAAACAACCCAATCTGAATGTGTGTCAGGAGGACTCATGTCCTCTTCTCCCCTCACCAAAATTACATGTCTCAATCTTCTTTATGGTACATCAGGCACCACATCTCACTGACAATATGTAATACATATGCAGTACTATTCTGTATTCTTACACCACCATCAGCAACCATCTCAAAACATATTTATTTAGTTCCTAAGTAACATAAACCAGATCTCCATAAGTTTTCCGAATACACTAATTAGAAGATGATTTAAAAGATTAAAAGCAGGGCTATGGCCATGGCTCAAGTGGTAGAGTACTTGCTTAGCAAGCATGAGGCCCTGAGTTCAAACCCTAGTATTGCCAAAAAAGAAAAACTATTGTTAAGTGCTTAGAAGGAGGAGGAAATGAGTTCTTCAGAGGACACAGGGTCCCTGTGAGATGAAAAGGTTCTGGAGGGAGGCACTGGTAAGGCCTGCACAACAGTGGGAATGTACCCAGTGCCACTGATCTGCTCACTTCAAAATGGCTAAAAGGCAAGTTCAATTTTGTATAACTTAATTTTATATATATATTGTACCACAATAAAAATAAGTTCATAACAAGTGACATATTAGGAATGCCACCACAAATAACCTACTTTATTGCTCACAGGAAAAGAACCTTAATAATTTTCTATTAAAGAGTTGATCTGTGAATATATAAACCAAATCTGTAATCTTATCTATTGGGCTTCTGGCACAGTGTCTAGGGCTCAAGATAACTTTGGAGGCACACAAAAATTTTTAAGTTCTTTTAAAATAAGAAAAAATGAACTTTACATCAAAGAAAATGTTTTAATACAGTAAGTATAATTTTCTTTAATACACTGCAATTATAAAATATCTTTTTTTTTTAATTAGAAAGGAGCCCATGAAAGCAAAAGTGCCTACTGTTCAGGAAAGCCACAATGTGGCCTTTATGCTTGTAAAGTTCTACAATGAGAGTATCAAGTTACACCAAGAAAGCAGAAACACAACTGGATATGTATGCAAAACAGTGTTTTTAAACAGAAATCACACAGATAAGAAATTACTGAGGGCTTGACATTTTTAAAAACTTTCCCCAGTACCACCCAAGAAAATAAAAACAATGAAATAAAATTTTATCAAATAAAATACACAGAGACAGATCAAACTATACAACTTTAATCAAAAGCAGGTATTTATGTATCAAGTACTGATAAAAACACCCTGTAGATTAACTACTGTTTAACAACTTCCTATGAAGAGGATACTATTTTTATGAGGTAAACTAGAAAAGGCCCACAAAGGCAAGTTACTTGTCCAATGTTGACAAAGCTAAGTGTTGAACTCAGTATCATTCTAGAGTCCATACTCTCAACCACTGAGCTATCAGTTTTTTTCCTCTGCACAACAAAAATTTATGGACTGCTCATTCTACAAATCTAAGTTTATTCCATAAATTACTAAAATATAGGACCAAGCACAAATAAGAATGAAGACTTTCTTTTCATTTGCTTTTGGTGTTGGAGATTGAATCCAGGGAATCATGGCATGCTAAGTATACACTCTATCACTAAGCTACATCCCCAGCCTGAAGAATGTTTTTGACAACAGTGTTTTGAGAATTCATAGTACTATTGTCATTAAAGAGGATAAAGAAAGGCTTTGTGTGAGAAATGATCTAACCTACATCTGGTAAGATTTAAGACACAGAGATGCAAGATGAGAAAGGAAAATATTCCACGCAGAACTAATAAAAGAACCAAAATCATTAGACCAAAACAGCATTGGCAGCTCAAGTAATTGTACTGAAATGAATGTCAGATAGGAAAGAAGTAAAAGGAAAATAAAAGACCAAAAAGACTAGAGAGTTTAAACTTAACTTGCTACAGAAGGCAGGGAGTAACATGAACAGAGCTGTTATACGTTGCTGCTGTAAGAATTAGAAAAAAAGAGATGGCTATGGAAAGAAGTATCAGGTTACTCTACCATTCCCAAGGTAAGGAATGTCTCAAGCAAAACGGGTCAAATGAAAATGAAACTACTAACACAGTAGTTATCAAACTTCAACTAAATTAATGAACTGGGTCAGAAAGAAATATGGTTTAATACACTAAAATGTAAAATACCAAGGAAACAGGGTCATACTTGGGACAATCTTTGGAAACTTGGTGAGGGAGTACACTGAAGGTCTACAGGACTAGAATGAAGAGGTGGTAAGGCCCTGCCTGATTAGCCAGGCTCAAGAATTAGAGAGACTTTATAACATCAACATTTTGAGAGAGATTATGGAAGTGGAGTAGTAGAATTGAGTAACAAAATGTGGAGGTGACTTTGACATTTTAAGTACAAAGAAAGAATAACATCATTAACAGAAAGAAGCAACAAAGGAGGGAAAACAGGTTTACAGCAATTTCACCCATATAAAGACACCTGGAAGTTGTAAGATTTCAAAAGAAAAAGTATTAAAAAGGAAAAATGGATCAGGAAAGTTTAAGGAACATCTGTAAGAGCCAAAGAAGGATTGCCAACTAGAGAATCAAGCGCAATTTAATAGTGCTTCCTAAGTTTTTTCACATGAAAGTACACAAATGAGACAAAACTATTTGTGTGGCATAGTGTGGTAAATAAGACTGCCAAAGGTTGACTGTTATTAGCCCAGGAGTTGAAGAATCATTCTTGTGCACATCAGTAAATCCACTCTGAACTGTAATGTATGCCAAAAAGGTTAAGACTTTATCTCCCTTATCTCAATCTCTTTCAGCAGTCATTGATCCATCCAGTAGAATGTTGCAGATATGACTAAGAAAAGCACTCAGACCTAAGAAATGACTAGTGACTCTCTAGTCTGTGGAAAAAGCTATACTTCAGAAGGTAAACAATGGAAGACAATCATTGATAAGTTATTACCTTTTTACTAGGCATGTCACTCTCAGTGGTTAAAAGGGATAACCTAAATGGGAATGATTCTTCAAATCTTTCTAGTAAAAAATGCTCTTTTCAAACTACGTAGTAACATGTTACCTCTTAATCCTTCTCTCTGTGTTTAGGAAAAGGATGGATTAAAAACCCTCTTGAAACTTTGAACACTTACCCAGTACGAGACTGGCCGACCTTATCGCAAATATCCAAGATGAGGCCCCAGTCCTCAGCGGTATTCATCTCACTGGTTGCTTTCTCTGCAGATATAAAAGTAATTACAGAAATATTATTGTAAAAATCCTTATGTAATCATATGATAAAGTCTTAACATCAAAACCAAACAGTTGCTAGTACTCTGGTTAATAAGATTTTCATGTCCATCTTTAAAAGGGGAAGTGAACTGAGGGCTGGTGGCTCACACCTGTAATCTGAGCTACTTGAGAGGCTTAAATTGGGAAGATCAAGGTTCAAAGCCAGACTGGGCAAATAGTTCGTGAGACTCCATTTCCAAAATACCCAGAGCAAAATGGACTGCAGGTGTGGCTCAAGAGTTCAGTGGCTGCTTTGCAAAATGAAGCCCTGAATTCAAAACCCAGTCCTACCAAAATATATATAAATAAATAGAAAATAAATAAAAAGGGAAAGTGCACCCTTATTATGTCACAAAATTTTTCCCCAGTCACACTTCAGTTGCTTTTTATTTAGCATCAACTATCAGCCACTGATTTTTCTTTATTTAAAAAAGTTATATTCAGGTCTATCTCCACCTGCAAACAGAGCAAAATAAGAAAAAAAAATTCTTAGCTTTACTTGCCAATGAAGGGGCTTGGCACAAATCTCTATCAAAATGTTTCAAGTAAATTATTTTGCAGTTTTATTGATTTGATTTTTTGAGAATGGAGCAGGGAGACTGCAGGAATAAAGAAAGTCAAGCTTTGACTGAGTGTTTCTCCACAAATAAAAACTTGACATATTAAAAGCATTAACAGAGGCATGACAGATTGAGCACAATCATCTAACTCAGCTCCCTAGCTCCCTCCCTCAATTTAAAAAAAAGGGTTTTTAAACACACAAGAACCAGTTAAACATGTGAAACTCTTAATAGCAACTGCATCCCAAAACCTTTGTAAAAATATATGTATATATACTATATATATTAATGTACATAGAAGACCCAAGCAAGGAAGATCAAAATAGGAGTTAAGAAAAAGCTTAAGAACAAGCCTGTTTTATACCACTGAATTCTCAGAAGGTTCAAAAACTTTTAGCAGAAAGAAAGTATGGCAGTGAAAATGAAGAAAGGACTTAAAAGTTAGAAGGAATGAATAAAGGATGTTTGACATGTAGGTAGGTCACCACTTCTCAACTGCAGCGAAAAGGTGAAGCTTTGTTTTCTGCAGGTCAAGCAAAGCTTTTATGGACTAGTAGATGCTAGGCACAGAAGAGACAAAGCACAAAAAATAAAGGAAGTACTACTAGTTTCCAACCCACGTGAAAGGGGCTTAGAAGTCATGACTCCATCTTAACAAAAAGCTGAGCAAACTGAAAAATTAAAACTCTTTTTGGATCCTTCAGGAAAGGGAGCTTTCAGGACAAATTGCTGATTCAAAAATTAAAGACAGAGAACTGCAACTTACAACAAGCAGAAATCTCCACAGGGACCAAACCAGGGCTGGAAAACCTAAAGTAATTATCAAACTGCTGGAGGCTCAGTGAGAACATTGTGAGAGTTAAAACTCCAGGGGACAAATACAGAGAAAGGAAACCTCACACCTTTGAGTTTCAACTCCAGAAATTATAATGGGTTTTCATAGTCAATATAAAAGGAAAAGGAACCATTCTGAAACATCCCAGAGAACTTCACTCTTCTTAATAAGGCCTGCTGCTAAAAGAAACTATTTTACTAATGTCTAATCGAACAACCCACTCTAGTTAGTCTATCTCACCTAAGTGGGAAAACACAGAGAAACATTCATGACTTCACAGTCCAGAAACACAGGCTCAGGCTCTAGAGCTGGAGGTGTGTCTCAAATGGTAGCACACCTGCCCAGCAAATGCAAGGCCCTGAGTGCACAACCCAGTACTGCCAAAAAAACAAAACAAAACAAACAAACAAACAAAAACACTGAGACCTAGCTAGCAGGACATGGAAGTACACACATATAGTCCTAGTCCTCACAATTGGGAAAATGAAGTTTTGAAGCCAGCTGAGGCTACACTGAAAGACCCTGACTCAAAAAAAAAACCTAAAAAGACCAAGACTTAATCATTGGATCATAGGACTATGATCCAATGACACCTTACTACCACCTTATCGAGTCCTATTTAAAGGCCACTAAGATGTGGAATGGGTTCCTCTTCTCTAGTACAGCATCTATGGGTATTAATGAAAACTTACAAATCATACTAAAAACAAAACCAGACTGAAAAGGCAAAGCAAATTTCAGAACTAGACAGATACATGGCAGGATGTCAGAAGTATCAGACCAGAATATCTTAAACTATGATTAATATATGCTAAGGGCTCTGATGTAAGAAATAGACAAATGCAAGAACAGACAATGCAAGCAGGGACATCAAAATTCTAAGAAAAAATCAAAAAGGAATACTACAAATCAAAAACTACAAAAATGAAATCGAGAATGTCTTTGATGGATTCATTAGTACAATGGACATAACAAAAGAAAGAACCTTTGAGTTTGAAGATGTATCAACAGAAACTCCCAACACTGAAAATAAATAGAGAGAGAGAGAAAGAGAGAGAGAGAGAGAGAGAATTTCAAGAACTGTGGAAAAAATACAAAAGGTATAATATGCGTCTTGGGAACACCAGGAGAAAAAAAGAAAAACAGAAGAAATACTTCAAGTAATAATGTCTGAAGTTTTCCCAAAATTAGTGTCAGACACAAATACAGATCCTGGAGGCTCTGAGAATAGCAAACAGAATAAATACCAAGAAAGCTAGCACAGTTATATTATATTCGAATTGCAGAAATTCAAAGATTAAGAAAAAATCTTGAAAATCTAATAGATAAATTTACTCAAACTAATAGCATACTAGATTGTTGCTATTAGTTTGAATAAGTTTATCTACTACTAATTCTATGCCCATAAATTTAATAACCTGGATGAAATGGACTGCTTCTTTTAAAGACATAATCTGCCTAAACTCATAGAAGATCAGACAATCTAAGTAGACCTATCATCCATTAAAGGAATTGAACCAATAAAATTAATACCAGATGGGCTCACCAGTGAATTCTACAAATATCTAAGGAAAAAATTATGCCAATTCTCTACAATCTTTTACAGAAGACAAAAGCAAAGGAAATACCTCCCAACCACTCACCATTAACTTAATAGGGCCACCATTAACTTAATCCCTAAGATAGCGAACAAAATATTACAAGAAAACTATAAATGCCTTTCATGAGCATAAATGCAAAATTTCTCAACAAAATATTAGCAAATCAAAAGAACTAGGCTGGGCAAGGAAGCTCAGATCTATAATCCTAGCTATTGAGGAGGAAATCAGGATTGTGATTCAAAGGCAGTCCAGGCAAACAGGTTAGCAAGACCCCTCTGTAGGAAGATCATGGTCCAGGCTGACGCAGACAAAAAAAACCCTCAAGACACTACTGGAAAATAATGAAAGCAAAAAAAAAAAAAACTATAAAAGATTAAGGAAAAGATGAACGAGTGAAACAAAAAAAAAACAACGGAAAAAAGCAATGTAGAAGAAACAGAATATACATGGTGGAAAGACAAAAGCTATATACAAGAAGATAACAAAGTCTTGACTAGAGCACAGCTCAAAATATCAGATATGGTGAAAAATAACATCACCAAGATCCTCAATAACTGACTTGATTTTTTAACCTGAAATGGACTAATCCATAAGATTCTTGTTGCAATGGTTTGTCTTGATCGTGAGACAATGAAATTCCTGATTCCTCCTCTCCTCAGTGCTCTGCTGCCTAACTCAACAGAGAACACTGGATTCTCCATTAGACTTACAACTGAGAGCTGGAGGTAGCTCACAAGTTAAAAACCAGAAAATAGAAAGTAACAACTGTGTTCAAATTCTTTGCAGGCTTACAAACCTGATCTATATCACAGCCCTAAGGGACATGGTATCACCTACCAGTCGGTCACAGCACTGTAGAATTGGCATAAGCATACAGTACAAAGGTAGTAGGTAATAACCATGGGTACTGGTATGTAGGGTAGTTATAGCTATCTGTATTATCAGTTTTCTGCTGTTATAACAAAATATCTGAGGCTGGGTACTATATTTTTAAAAGAAGGTTATTTAGCTCAAGTTTTGGAGGCTAGAAGTCCAAGATCAGGCAGTCCTATCTGTTCAGCCTCTGGGAGGACCTCATGATAGAGAGCATCACAATGGTCAGGGCAAATAAGGAAGAGATCATTAAGGAAACAAGAAGCCAGAGAAATTCAGGTGCCAGGCTTACTCTTTTTATAACAACCTACTCTCAGAGAAACTAACCAGAGTCCCAGGAGAACTACATAAATCTCTTCCAAGGATGATGCCCCACAATGACCTCATTCCATCCCACTAGACCCTACCTCTGAAGGGTCCACCACCTCAACATCTTCACACTGGGCACATCAAGCTTTCACATATGAGCCTTTGAAGGACATGCTCAAACCATATTCAAACCATTGCACCATCCCACAGTCCTCTAATATGGAAGACAACAAAGACACTTACACTATGAGTCCCTTGTGTAAGAACACAAAATGTCTAAACATTTGTGATTTTCAGGGCTGGGGCTCAGACAGTGATACTCCAAAGCATAAACCTCAAAAGTAGTTTCTGATTTTCTCCTGCTCGCCTGTCTTGTGCCCCTCATAATCCCACGAGGCAAGTCTTAAAAACTAGAATTCCTCATCACCAAGATGTATCATAGAAACTAGAAGCTCTTTTCTCCACAGCCAGCCATAAAAACCAGAATTACTATTATTATTATTACGATTATTATTATTTCTGTCTAGAAGCTGGCTGTAAAGAAATTAAAACTCTCAATCCTGCCTCATACCCAGAAGAATTGCTGTAACTGAATGGCTAAAAAGAACCTGAATAGAAAGATCTTTGTGTGTTTCCCCCCTCAGCCTTTTACCATTAGCTCACCAAACCTAAACATAAAAATGAATAGTTCACCCCAGGTCTTTCCATGTCAAGTAAAACTACAATGAAATCAATTCCTTATGCTTTTCTCTTGTTAACAAGTTTTGT